TTTTCTAATACCGATTGAACCTTGCATTGCTAAACTGGCAGAACTCTAGTTATAGAGGCTTAAAAATCTAAAATATCAATACTTAATTATCCGAAAAACACCATGTTAGATTACAACGCGTGTTTCATTGATGTTCATGAATAACGGTAGATGAACTGTTAAAATCTCGTTTATAACGTTACGTTGACAATCTCTGGTTGGCAGTAAGTGAGAAATGTAAACATTTTGTAACAGTCACTTGCGTTATGCAATATTTTTATAACTACCGATGCCGTGTAACAAGTTGGTAGAACTCATCTACTTTAAATAAAGTTTAAATAAGTAATGCTTAAACACTTAAGTACCGAAATGCATGGCATGGTTAAAAGTGTCTATTAACTATAAAATGATTAGATCTGTTATCAAGTACGGGAGAGCCATGCTTCGTCACGAATGGGCCGGCTCGACCAGAGTGATACCACCTCACAGAAAACCGACGTGAAGCAACGCTTTCGTTGTGTTTCGTCGTGTGAGTGAGGTTACCGGAGGCCCAATCACCCCTTCATAATCTCCAAATCCCCAACAATCCTCAAACTCCTAATTCCCCAAAAGGCCGGTAACGCACTTGTAACGCGTCCGGTGTTTCAGGCGTCCATCAGGTGTCCGTATCCGTCTGCTCGTATACCAGCTTAGGCCATAAAAAAAAACTAATCAATAATAAAATGCCAAAAGGCCAATGCGCAACAAATAAATTGATTTGAATAATTTGATTTGCTTTTTCTGCATTTGTCTATTAAAATATGTTAGTAATAATATGTATATAATTATGTACCCACTTAAATTATTCATAACTAGCAGCCCGTCCCGGCTTCGCACGGGGTAGACAATTATTAATTTTTGGAAATTTGGATTGTTGTAGTGACATAACTACAATAGTTGGGCATATGCTAACGCGGAGTTTTTTGTAGACATTATGATGTTCTTCAATATTGTTGTACATTATTTTGTTCTATCGCTAATAGTTTCGGCAGCGCATTCGACGAAAGACATTTTAAGTTTTTAAGACTCATTTTTCTACACCTTCGGTTACATTGTTCAAATCTTACCAATGATCCCTAATTTTTTTTTCAAAATGAAATGTAGTCTTTGTCAAATTGGAAGAATGTAGCATTCTATTGGTGAAAGAATTTTATAAATCGGCCCAGTACTTTTTGAGCCTATTCATTACAAACATACAAACATACAAAAACAGGAACAAATATTTCCTCTTTATAATATTAATATAGATATAGATATAAAAGAGTATTTTCTGGATCATCAAATAAAATCGTATGAATCAAAGTAATCTGTCGTTTAAATGGAAACAATTTTAATTTAATTAATAAGTATTTTTAATCATGGAAATGTCAACTATAAACAAATCTTTTTATGATTTGTTTAAAAATAGTTAATTACCTAAGCAGACTGAGAATAGAATAAATCTTTAAAACTATGCAACAATTTTTATTCTAGTAGATAGAGCGATACAAGTGTAGGTAAGGTTTATAGTAGGTACAATTTAGAAACACACTAATAACCATGCGAAGTCAGGATATTAATTGAAAATAATCCTAAATACCATCGCTGAAATTAACATTACTTTTAATTTTATTTTATTGCCTAATTAGTCTGTGTCTATAATGGAATTACGCGACTTATGACTATGTTTAAAGAGATTTTAAATGTTAAAAGTTTAATATACACATTGAAAGTCGAAAATCAATCTGTTTAATTGATATAGTTTAAAAATCTCATAAAGCGGAATCGTTATAGAATGTTTAATAATAATTGTAAATTATATCATAAGATTTAAAGTGATAAAAGAGTAATTTTTTATCTGTGGTTTTTATTACTTACAAAAAACGGCTTTCAAAATGTTTGGTATTTGTGCTTAGTTCACTGTCTGTCTGTAATCACGTTTCGAAATTCTCGATTTAAACAAAAAATTATATTACCAATATGTAACAAATATCGGCATCGAGCCGGTTTGCTAAAATTGGACAATGAATTTGCATTTCAACGATATTTTTTACGTTGCATTCGTAAGTAGTGCCGATAGTCCCGACATTTATAACGACAAAAATAGACGGGCATTTAATAAAATATAAATATATAAATTAACGAATCTCATCGTCACATTCTCTGTACCCTGCTATAAATTTCTTTGTTTGTATTTTGTAATATCCAAAGGTTGTTGCATTTTATGTTATTAGCTGGCATAGTTTCTGTCTCTGTCAGCTGTCCTCTCCTTCTACTTAACTTCATAATATTTAGTAAGGACAATAATTAACATCACTACTGACCAAATACTTGCGATATTACTTAAACATTCATAATAATAATGATGCTTCTTTACAGTATAAAGCGGTGGTAGTTTCTTCCCCCTTCAGCCACTTACATTTCCGTTGTCCCTCTGTTGCTAACCATTCCCGGGGGACCCGGTTGGCAAATGTCCACCTGCCATTTTTACGTGTTATAGTTAATTAGGTTAAGTACATTGTTTCGGCAGGACGGCAGGTGCCAGTCATCCATAGTTCCCAATTTACCAGTCCACAGCAACCCATCCATTGTCCTACCTTCTTTCCATTATTTACAATAGGTCTACACTAACCGGTGACTGTCGTTGGGTGTATTTCTATGGAAATACACCCAATATGTGCATACAGGGATAGTCGCCGGTTTGTGTCCCATTGCACTTTATTAAATATGTCTAAAGGGCCTTTGCGCAGTTGGCTTTGGCACCTCGTACGCTGCCAAATGACCGGGACCCTGTTATCCCGTTAGAGGTAAAGACATACACAATAATAATAATAATGTTTCTTCATAGAAAGAGAAGGTTAAAAATCTGTTAAAGAGACACCCTTAGTGAGTGAATTCCGTCGTTATTAATGTCGTGAATACTCTATCTGCTTATAAGCTACCTACTCCGAAAATAAACGTCGAATAACATACGACCTCCAATATAAAATAAAAAAAAATCCAATAAAAGAATCGTGCTTTATTATTACCTACTTATTTAATTTAATTCCATAAACAATTTAGTCTGGCTAGTAGAATGGTGGCATAAGCTTGCGCGCTCGTCTGCAGAGGTAGATTCCCGTTTTGGGTTGAGAAAAGTGCTATTACGAGTACCAACACTGAATATGCGCATCCCTGCTAAACCCTTCGGGCAATAAATGCCACCATGTTATACATGTCTAACATAAATTGCGGACACAATGTCAATTATGTTTTTAGTTGACATAATCGCTTTGATTGTAGAATGGATAATCTAAGCATAATCGCAAGGTTTGTATTAATAATAACTAAAGTTACGTAATAAAGACCCATGTGGATCGATAAAACACTTTATTGCATTTAAATCTGGTCTAGGTCAAACTATTTTTGCATGCATCGCGATCACCTTGAAGGAAGTGAAATGATTACGTACCATACGTAAATAATGCTAATGTTGGATTCCTATCCAACTTCCTTCAAGGATTCCTTTCCTATCGCGAATACATGATCCACACATGAATACATGAACCCAGTGCAGTTTTCTATGAAACTTTTATTTATTCTTTGTATGTATTTGCTGGCATTAAGTACTATGGTATGTCTGTGGAAGTGCATTTGGTGCAATGGCTAAGCGACCGATTGTTGTGCAATTCGATTCTCGCACAGCACTATTCCTTGTGTAATCCAAAAATGGTTGTTTTGGGTCTTGAACGTGCTAGTGAGGACATAGACACTAGAGGAGTGACATTAAAAAAAATAAACGTGGAATAAAAGAGGAGAGATTACCCAATTCATCGAGATCGAAATATACCATAATTGAGTTCTCATTATTACTGATGTAGGATGTGCCCTGAAAAGTACCTACAATGCGAGTAATGATAATGTTACACAACTAAAAAACTGATTACGGAAATAATCGCTGATAAAAGAATACGTAGGTAACACGTTCTCCATCGATGGATCGATGTTTAATTAGCTAATTTGTTTTTTTTTTCATATTAGGTTTATCACTGTCCGTCCTGATAAAAGGATTTCTTAAGATTGGTTTTAAATATTGGGTAGGTAGGTACTATACCTATGTAAATACAGCGTAGGTACATTAGGTATTGCACTGAGTATGCGAAAACTAATAAATAGAAAGGTAATGTCATTACTCATTAGTCATTACCTATCTATTAGTACTGTCTTTACTCGAGGCCCGTGCCCAGGGCGCCTGCACTACCTAGGTACTTAGGTACCTACCTATTAGGTATTATTATCATTACGATTTTCATTTTCTTACCAGTTGATATGCACGGAAGCCTTGAAGTTTTTCGTAGCATGATTGCATTCAGGCATGCAGCATTGAAGAATTCACAAAGTAGCATTTATTAAGTATTTACCTATTACCAATACGTAAACGTAAATAATTAATTTACTTCTTAGCTTTGCATGTTATTATTATAATAATTGCAGCTTAAATGAGGTTTAGTTAACACTAGCGTGCTAAAATTGAGATTCATTAATCATTTTTGCCCTAATAATTTCAAAGTTTCTTTGTTAACGTTTAGTACGTGTACCTAGGTTTGAATTTGAAAAATCTTTGATAAGCTACGTTTAAAAAACCCAACTTCAACCCCCTCCTTTTTTGAAGTCAATTAATTAACACATATACTAAAACTTTCTTCTAATTGTAACAAACACTTTTCTGAAAACCGCATCAAAATCGGTTCAAACAATCGGGAGATATTCGCGCACAAACATACATACATACAGGTCTAACTGAGGACTTCCTTTTATTGAAGTCGGTTAAAAAATACAGCAGTTTAAATAAGTAGGTACTTATCTACTCTATTCAAATGTAATGTACCTTCCTTCATAATTATGTACGTTCATACATACCTACAACGCGATTAGTTACGATTTCTATAACATTTCACCGCGTAAACAAATAAAGAACATCACGTTTTTTAATAAAACTGAATAATAACAACAACAGAAATTACCTTCATCAACGCGAAGCGCTGATCGTCGTCAATTCCCACGACAGCATTCGAAGAGGGTGCCATTTTCACAAACTAATACGATATAATAAAAGTAACGATCGTAATAACGATATTCTTATCACGATTGGTAAAATATCTACGCGTGCGTGCAAGACTCGCGGGCGCGCGCGACCGAATGACGACGAGTATACGAGTGCGCTTGCGCTTTGTGAACACTCCGAGAGTCCAAACAAGTAATGAATTGTGAACGTGTTGTTGATTACCGACTCGATCGAAATCGAAAGGTGTGTATTCAGTCAGTACAACAATAGCGATTCAGTTAATCGTGATAGAGAATTTGGCGCGTAATTAAGATTTGATGCGCTTACGCCGGCGACGGCTGCATCGTCTTTAATTAACCCTATGACCGCTACGGATCTAATATCGCGAGTGCACTGCGGCTGCGTAAGAATTTGTCAAGGTATGAGTTCAATTGTACCTACTTATCATGGCCAAAGGAGTACCTAGACCATAGATAATATTCTGTGACCTATTATGGTTATATACCATATAATTATACTATAGGTATAAGTGCACATATTCCATTGAACATTCACTTTTCACCAGCTATGATATGGATCACATTGTAATATGGGCTGGCACCATTCATACACTGAGCATAATAACAGACTACTAGAAGTTATATTCTCTTTGCAGACTACATAAATTATTACTTACACAAATAATTTTTATAAACAATGAAACATGCTAATTTTTCATTATTGTGATTGTGTGGGACTTTGATCTGTGAATATCTGAATACGTTATTAATTTAGATGCAATTAATAAGTGGAAAAATAAAAGAAAACTTTTATGAAAAATATTTTACTTACATTAAATTACTTTGCATTATTTACATAAATTCATTACAAAACAATAGGTATTTGTCAACTGTGTTGGATCCCAGATCCAACTTCATTTCTGAACTCTTTGATTTGTTTGTTTACAATTCAGTTCTAATTTTAAACAAGTCATCATTTCATAACAGTGAATACTACTCCACCTCTCTCTGGTTCCTCATCATGCACCTCCTTATCACTGCCCTCAGGATCTGATACATCAGAATCATCACTATCTCCGTCCCTATACTTTCCAAAACTACTTTTATCTTCTGGCAACTCTCCGATCTTGATTCCTGCACGAGCCAACAACTTCTCAGCAGCATGCTGCGCCTCTATTTCTCTCAAATGTGTATTGTATTCTTTTTGAAGTTTTAATGATTCTTCAATGGACAATACTTTGGCTGGACCATGGACACTAGGAGGGGGAGTAGCAGCTGTCACTTCCCAATGTTTATGCTTTTTCCTAAGAATCTCCTTGTCTGGGTTTTGGGAGTCCGATTTTGTTGTCCTATAAGGCTTGAAATTGCCTGTAGATTTGGGCTTAGGTTTAATTTCAGTTTTTTCTACTATGTACTTCACATGAGGTAGCTCACCAATCTTTAACAAGTCTTCTGTAGTAATCAGTGGCTTTTCAGGTGGTAATACTTTTACTTGTTTCTCTGGAGCAGTGGTTTGGCTGAGGATATGAAGCACATCTTCTGGTTCACTGTCGTCATCAGAATCGAGGTATGTGTTGTTGTTATCCGGTATTTTGCCAACCCATTCTACTTGCTGCACAACGTCTTTATCAACTCCGTTCAGTTTCATGTTATCAAACATACGACAAGTTTGTTCCTCTTCCTGCTTCGCTTTCAATTCACTAACGATTTTATCATGAAACGCCTGGATTTTCGCACCCTTGTCAGGAAGCTTAGATATAAAAGCCTTGTTATTCAATAGTTTCAGTTGCCTGTCTCGTAACTCGCATAGTTCTGCGATGTTTTTTGATGACAAATCAGTGATCTTGCCGTCGATTTCAGTTTTCGGTGGAGGCGGCAGAATACCTGGAATCTTTTTTATTATTGGCTGCATAGTTTAAATACACTTAACACATGTATTCATAAATAAAGTTTAATTTTAGAGACTTCTTAGTGGACTTCGTTTACTTGTAGAAACTTGTTTATTCTCAAAATCTGATTCATTGTGTTTGTGATGTGAATTAAACGTCAAATTATTTGTCACTGTCAGTTGTCACGTCAATGATAGATAGACGGTTGTAAAGTTGCCATGGCCAGTGGCCTCTGAGCGTAGTCTACTACTAGTGTCAGTAGTTTTCTTACTATCGCTCCTACACACCTTCTTAACGTAGTATTTAGTTAAATTGCAAGAATAATTTTAATCAAATATCCTATTCCAATTTTATTTATTGACAAATATTCTACGATAAGAAAAAATCGACTAAATGAATCTGTCAATTTGCCGTAAGTAATATTATGCTCTGTGGTAACTGGTAACTTGTAAGTGAATGAATGTTTGTAATAAAATAATCATCATTCATTCAAATTCATTCAAGGATCTGACAATTTACTTGGTTGACGCTTTTGTAATTTATTGTGTTAAAAATAGATATTTACACCATAAAATGTCTAAAACAATAAAAATAATGAATAAGTTATAGTGTTAATACCTCAATATTTCATGCCATAGTATTAGTTTGCAGTGTTGATCTTGGATTTTTCGAGAACAATACATAATACCATGGAGGACGCTACGGTATATTTTCACGCATAATTTCTTTCTTAGATGTTTACTATTGTGTTATTTCAGTACATATTTTAGATATATTGTAATATTGTATCTTGTTATAGTTAACTTAGGTATTAATAAATTAAAATTTTAAGGTTTGTGCATCCTTGTTGTGTGGTATTTTAAATTATGGAGATCAATCAATATTTGACCTCTTTTGCAGGTGCCTTTGCATCTTGAGCCGTTTCAGCATGGTGAAGTGTCCGACAAAAGGATTTGGATCGGAAATCTTGACACCAGAGTTAATGAGTATGATTATTTTATCTTTTATCCTCTACAAATGTTATAAATCACATCCAGATTTTGGCACTTCTATGGTTTCAGATTAACTTACAGATTAAGTACTTATTGACACAATAGTTTTTCCAACAAGATTATAGATTTTATCTAAATGTACTCTTGACCTAAGTTCAGCTATTATAACAAACAATTTATTATTCTCTTTATTTTGCTTGCACATTTTTAACAAATTACTTTTTTCTAATTACCGGTATCAACTACTGAAACTGGTTCGTGCGTATGGGAACATTGAGAAGTTTGACATGCTGTTTCATCGGAGTGGTCCCAATGCGGGACAGCCACGGGGGTTTGCGTTTGTTACGTTCAAGCTGAGGCAGGATGCCATTAAAGCCATGAACTCACTCAACGGTCAGATGCTTGGAACAAAGAGGATAAGCGTCAAGTTTGCTAAGAACACTGTAAGTTGGATTTATGCATATTTCTTTAAGGAAAATTAATGCTATTTCTACATAATATTCAGATAAATATAAAAATTAACAACAGACTGCCTCGTTGGCCGAGTGGTAGCAAGTGCGTCTGCCAGGCAAGGGGTCTTAGGTTCGATTCCCGGGTCAGGCAAAGTATAACTGGGTTTTTAAAAAAAATCACAGTAGTAGCACGGAGTCTGGAAATGTACCCGGTATATGGCAATAGGCTCACCCCCTATTACATGGGACTTGTAACATAAATAGTGAAAAGTGGGTGTTAATTCTGTGTGCAGCTCTGCCTACCCCTACAGGGATAAAAGGCGTGATGTTATGTTATTAACAACAAAACATAATAAGTACTAAATTCTTTTCAATCATAAATTTTATTGTTATCATTATCATTTTTGTGTAAGCCCAATGTAAATAATTGTACCACAATTCTCTTACAACAATAATTTCTGTTACAGGACGAACAAGAGAAACCAAAACCAGAACTTGGCATAGCAGTTCTAGCAGGTGCTAAACCAGAGCTCAAGTTAAGCAAAAAGACCGCTATCCAGTCCATAGAGGCCAAACTAAAAATGATGGAGAATATGAAGGCAGGTGATGACTTTGTAGTCAATAAGTTAGCTGCAAACGAGGCACCAGTCATTGCACAATATCAGACTAAACAGTATCAACCACAGAAATCTGTTTCCTCCTTTAGAAGAAGACATCCGTATCATAAAAAAAGATAGATAGTATTTTTTTTAAATGCCTTAATTTTATGGAGGGTGATGCTACCATGATGGTTGGGTTGTAATCTCAATTTCAAGAATTTAATTTCTTTCTAGAATGATCTCCATTGTTATAGTATATGTTTTTTAGGTTGTTAACACAGGAACATATTCTATATTGTACTTAATTAGATTTTGTGGGAAATTTATGAAATGTTAGTTAGAATTATGAGTGAGTAATGTCATTGAACAAATATTGTTGTCTATATTAATTTGTCATTTACAATTTTAACCCATGGTTTGCCAGAACAAAGGGATGACCCAATGTATTTTCTATTGTGGTTCATTTTTACATTATAGCTGCATTCCGAAGGGTTAAATGCTGAATTAATGGTTGTAATTTTGTTATTAATTTTGTTGAATGTTATCAATATTAACTTTATCATGTTCATTTATGAGTATAAAATATCATTTTTAACATATTTGTTGGTAGGTTTCATGGTAGCATCAAATGATATTTGTAAAGTGCTATTTTACGCAAATAATGTTAGTTTTTTATTGTAGTAACATGTGATTTATGTATAAGTGCTAAGTGAATGATTGACACCGATTTTTAAGATGTCAATATTAATTTATATTTTTGTCGGTCTGTTTATTAACGTTAGATCTTAGCTTTATTAATATTGGTATATTATTACAAAGGTAGGCAATGTTATTTATTGTTCATGAAATTATAATTTTACTAATATTTTTATCTTTAGGGCCTGTTTTATTATGTTTGATGGTTTCCGTTAGACTAAGTAACAAAATGTTTGACTGAACGACCGGTGAAATATTTAACAGCGCCTTAGTTAGGTATTGTAAACAGGCCCTTTAGTATTAATCTCTTAAAACGAATTTTAGTATTACTTTAAGTAATGCCTTGTTCACACTACACTGGAAGTTTAGTTGAGTAGTAAATATTATAACTGAACAATGGAAGCGAGAGAGAATTGCTTAATATTCGCAACTCTACTCCAATACTAGCGTCGTGCAAACAAGGCATAAGCAGTAGACCTTTACGACTGAAATGCACCTCCTTTGATTCCAAAATTGTGGAGCCATGTGCATTCAGATTATAATTATTATAAAAGCAATTATTATGTGCACTTATAAAACTAAATGTATGTACTATTGTTGCCAGTCTATGTAATAATACTTATCGAAAATGTAATTTGTGATTTGAAGTTAGCTTTTGAAAATGTTGTATAATACATTAGTATAAGCGTTGTACCATCAGTGTGTTCATTTGTGTGTTAAAATCTATTAAAGTAATCAACGAATCGCTTAAGTACACTCATACTTATATTTACAATTGTCTTTGTGATTTGTGTGCAGTTGTGAATAAATTTAGTTTTCAACACATTTGAGTTGTTTTCTATTTATCTGATACTAGCTACTGCCGTGCGGTTCTCGCTGCTCGGCTCCTATAGATAGGTCATAGTGTGATGTTATATTGTCTATAGCCTCCATTGATAAATGCACTATCCCACTCAGAAAAAGTTATCAAATCAGCCATTCCGTAGATTAGCGCGCTCTAAAAACACTCTCAGAGTACTTAGATTACATTCAATACGACTTTATCATTAATACCTATTCTACCCTAATAGAAGTTATATTCTCTTCGTACTTACCCTTGTGTCGTAAAAGTGTAAAAGCCAAGTAAAGGAAGAGAGAACATTTGACAGGTCGACAATCTGTTAGGGACATTGTAGAACATACCCTACATCCAGTCTCACTTAAAGCTTTCCCTCACAAATTCACTTCACAGCACGGGTTCGTGGGCTCCAGGTCCACATGTACGAATATAGTGTCCTTCACGGAGTACTTGATAAGTACTATTGATGCCGGGGGACAGATGAACGGGATCTATAGCGATTTTAGTAGAGCCTTTGACCGTGTCCCTCATAACATTCTCCTGTATAAACTGAAATCTTACTTAATCTCTGGCTCACTCTTTGATTGGTTTAAGACTTTAAGTCATATCTCGATAGTCGTACCCTCTTTGTAGCCCTCAATGGTTACCGATCTAACTCCTACCTCGCCTCGTCACATCGGGCGTCCCTCAGGGATCACATGTCGGCCCAGTTTTATTTAACTTATTAATTGTTAATGATCCCGTAGCAGAGTTTAAGTTTTCTGAGACTTTTATGTATGCGGATGACTTAAGTTCAGCAGACAGATTGAATTAAATCTTGATATTGAGTTATTGCAGAGGGATGTTGATAGATTGATAAGATGGTATGAACTTGAACATTAACAAGTGCTACCGTATGAAATGCACAACAAAAACTGAATTTATGCAATCTACATACTACATTGGAAGCTTGGTGAGATCAGGTGAGAGATTTGAGAGTTACCTTTGATGGTCAGTTAACGTTTGTTCCCCATATTGAAAATACTATAAAAAAAGCTAGGGTTTGTCATCAGAATTGTTACTTGCTTTCACCGGAGTCAGACTAAAATACTGCTCTATAATTGTGTGGTTCGTAGCTCTTTGGAGTAGTATATATTATAGTTCGTATTATAGCATTGTACGGAGACCACACTATGCCACCCACACATTAAGAAAGATTGCTTAAAATCACGCTTTTTACACCCCAAAGCATATGTAACGACTTGCAAACATCTGAAATAGTTGGACTGGTTCGATTGTACTTATCTGTGGGCAGTGCCTCTGCAAAGTCAAGCTTTCCCCTATACTTATGATACTCTTTGGTCAAGCTTAAAAGTGGCACAGCCATACCATTCTTTTCTACGATGCAATTCAGTCCATTTTCGATCTCTAATAACTTCGTTGTGGATAAAACTAGAAAAAATTTTAGCAGTACAGTTTGCCAGGTAAACTAGTCAAAAATAAAATTCGTATTATTCTCTTGAATCAATAAATAAACTTTATTATGAAGCTTCTTAATGCATTGAATAAAATGTACATCAGTCCCTTAAACTATGTAACAATACATAACAATCAGACAAATTGTACTAGATATCAAAATATAGTTTATTTCTATGAGTTCAACTTAAAGATATTTGTTATTTGAACAGATTCACTCACTTAACAAAAATTGTTGTACATACGATGGGTTGAATATAGGGTACTATACTAAATAGTTGCTTCACAAACAGTGTGCTTGTATAAAACAGATTGCTATAACACTCAGGATTTAAAAATATGTTAACACTTAATTTACAACTAGAACCAAAGACTTGAACTAGTATATAAAATCACCTACTGTTTGTGAAAACAATTCATATATTTTATACATTACGTACTAAGATTGCTTATAATAAGATCAGAATTGTTACTAACGATTTAGCAACTGAAGTAACACATATTTTCTATTCACTAAAATATTTATATAAATATATTCTCACTAGTTCTGAAACCTGGTGAGATACCGTGGGACAATGAGGTAGCTAGCCTTTGCGTGGGGCTGGCCATGACTAAATAATCATCGTCTTCTTCTAATTTCCTCTTCATAGATGAGTACTGAGTTTCATCATCACCTTCTTTCAGCCAGTCCTTGTAGTCTATACATAACGGCCATATTATTTTACCGGATCTGTGAAAAAATAACAGAATATACAGATAAGCGAATAGTCATTAATTTAAAAATGTTCCCTAAATAGTTGTATTTTGGTTACCACTTTGCTTTAGATAAATGTATATGCAATGAAAACAATAGGCATCTTGGAATGGCAAGATTTAACATACCATAATTTACTCTTGTACAATCGACAGAGTGCAGTCAATCATCATTAGGCGATATTCGCATGCACTACGTGCGAGTGATTACAGGGAGTTTGCGACAGAATTTTGTTTATAAAGTGCCTTAAACTTTGCCTATAGTACTAGCAGAAGACGTCCCTTGGTATTAAATATAACTATTAACAGTTTTTAAGTTAACATAATTATACTTACATAGGCAAATTATATGGATCGTAGGGGAACCACTCGTCGTATTGTTGCACAGTTGTCGACTGCAGCGTATGTCGCGCATTCTTCTCAATGATGCCCTGGCAGTACACGACTTGATGAGACCTCGTGATGGAAGAAAACGCCCTCGTGACTTGAGGGGGACACGTGCGAAGCGGATTCAGTGCACACGTCACCAAACGTGGCAAGTTTAATGATTCCACGAAGTTCACATCTGAAAATAGTAAGTTGTTATGTAACCAATATTTATTACGTTTTAAATTAAGTTATCATGCTTTATATTATTGAAAAGACCGTCATGTCATAAGTTTTTATAAGTCGAAGAAGGAATTGAGTACAGAGTGACAGATAATAAAACAGGACTTATACCAAACTAAAACGTTTCACATCAATAGAGATGAATTTACTCATTTATAAAAATCTAGAAGATAGAAGAATACTCACTTTCTTTACTCGTAAACAACAAATGATGTTTGAAAGCCACAAGGTAGAAAATCGCGTGGCAAATAGCGTGGAATGCGCCGTGGGCTTTGGTATTGTCGCACGCTGCAGTTGACTCCTGAGTGGCGGAGATGTAAGAGTGACACCATTCTGCCATACTCTTTAAATACTTAATAAGTCTTGTGTTAGGGACTCGTACACAACGAGCGAGTAGTCCTGCTAAATGACTGGCAGCAGTTTTCCTTGTGGTAAGGGCACCTGGTCCTATGCCTTGGAGACCAGCGGCTATGGTCCATAGATTGTCTAGCACACGGTCGGCACATTGCTGATTTATTGATATTGTGTATAGAAGTAGGAACTGGACATGTCTGAAAGAAATACAAATATTGTTAAGGTATTTTAAATATATGGAAAACTAATGCCGAGTAAGTGATTGCTTTTCAAAATTCAACCTTAATGTTGTTTATGAAGTTTGTAAGTTTTAATTTGTTGTTTAGAGTGTAAATTATTGTAATTTGTTTATGGAGAGCTAATATTAAATCAATGTTTAACAGTAATTGTATTGAATTTAGTAATTAAGATAGCATAACCTGCACAAACAACTCTAAGTACCACTACACAAGTTCGAAATTTCTTTGCCAACCTTATGCCATATGTAGGTAAGATGATCCTCTCGAAGACAGTGCATAGGATGTTCATGATGGGTTCCCTTTCATCCTCCAGCCATTTGAGGACCTCCAGCATACAATAATCCAGGGTAATTGATACTTCGTCCTGGCAATCTATGTCCATGTCAAACATTGTGTCCGATTTGGTTTTTTCATATTCTGCGATATTTACGTCCATACTTATCATTCTGGAAATAAGGTATAATTTTGTTGTAGACATTTATTTGAATACTAGCGATCTGCCCCGGCTTCGCACGGGTGCAATATGCATGTATACATATAAGGCTTACTTAAGAATCAATCTACCTATTAAAAAAACCGTATCGAAATCCGTTGCGTAGTTTTAAAGATCTAAGCATATATAGGGACAGACAGACGGCGGATACCGACTTTGTTTTATACTATGTAATGATGAAAACAATATTTATTTACTTTAGCTACTGAATAATGTAATTTAATGCTACAAGATTTCATGTAAAAGGTCATGAAGAACTGGTCACATGTTAGTGATATCGTATCAATGATAGGTATAGGAAATTATACTAGAAAGGTCTATTCGCCGAGTGGTCATAAGTCCGAATGCCAAGGCCAAGCGGTCTAGTGTTCGATTCCCAGGTGGGACAAAGCATTACTGGGTTTTACAAGAATCTTAATAATATTTAAACAAATTTAGTTTTGTCCATATCTACATTGTAACTTCAATTACTTTAGAATGTCATGTGGAAGTGCGGAGTCTCCTAGCACAAGCAATCCATTGCTTAAAAGGTGATCTCCAATAATTTTATGGTATGCCTGTTGTAATTGAAATAAACTTTTTTATTTTTATTTTTTTTCCATGGACACTTGTAAAACAAGTTCCAAATGCATGGATTTCCTTTAAAAATGGCTTTATTATGTTTTTTTATCAAATTCCTGTCCACTGTTAGATCTAAGCGTATCAAAGAGCATATTACAGAATAATATCTACTTACTTATTAATAACAGCAGTCATGATCTGTTCTCGGAGGGAAGGGAGGTACTTGCTCATCCATATGAGATTGTATATATATGCTCTGTTTGTGTAGCACCCTGCCTTGTAGTACGGAAACTGTTCTATCATTATGTGCATTAGAAGATCACTTGTCCTGTAAGCAAGAAAAAATACCACATGAGAAAGGAACTGCCATTTTTTATAGCTGTTTTCTTAGGAGATGTTTGCAGCAATAAAGATTTCCTAGCATGCTGAGAATGGCATGTAAAGATTTTACTTTGATTTTATAATAACTATCGTGAGACATACTAAATTAAGTAAAAACGTGGGTTACTCACGTGAATATACTGAGGGGTTCTTCCTCATGAGCAGCGTGCGCGGTCGCGGCGACGTCGCGCAGCTCACTCTAGAGCTTTTCTCAGTATATTCACGTGAGTAACCCGCGTTTTTACTTAATTAAGATTTTACCTTTTGCTAATTCATGTCTATGCTCTGTAATAAGAGGTTTTAAATCCGACTCCATTCGAAATCCTTCGAAAATACGAATAGAATAGAAGCCAATATTTTACTTGAAGCTGGGAATTTTTCCTTGTAAGATTTCGACTATTCTTGTCTTATTGTGTTGAAGGTTCGCATAGCCTACACAACCCGTTTTCTATTCATAAAGCAGATTAAGTATCTTCCTTTAGAATAGGTAACAGTGATTGTGATTGGCTAGGGAAGGGAACAAAGTGGGGATAGTCATATTAAAAAATTTGGTAATAGTCACATTAAAACTTTTTTGGAATCCCTGCAAAGGTTTCATGCATCACTGACTTGCAATTTAAGTCCTGTAGAAAGCTTTTAGATATTCAATATCATAACAAATAACTTCCTTTCTTATCATTTATTATCACTTGGTGTAATGATATCCTCTTATCTATTGATGGTAATTTTGGAGTACAAATATGACTCATACAAAACAGTACCTATTTGACATTTATACCTTAAAAATTTAGTAACTATAATATCAAATAGGTACTACATTTTTATACAGCATAAAACTATATTGTTTTATACTGTTATATATTTCCAATCACACAAAGAAGTGGTGCAATATACTTACTCTTCCATTAGCATCCGTAACTCAAAAAAGTATTGACATACTTTTTGTTTATCCCATTTGAAGATTAGTGTTTTCGTTCATCTTCAGCTTTGTAGTAAAGCTAGAGAGAGATGGTGATATCGGTGTGTAGTGCTATCTCTCTCCGCCATTGCAACAACAATACTTCAGAGCTTTCAACCTTCTTGGCTCCTTTTGTTTTGTTCAGCCATTTTGTTTTTGATAAGGAAATAATGCCATAAGTTATTCCAAATCCAAATGACTCAAGGATTTGTCTACAGTAGCATTATTTTAGTCTGTTATTTCTTCTTTTGGTTGCCATTCTTCAAATTATATCCCACCCTCTAAAATCCAAAAAAGCTCAGTTTCTAACTGTGCATACCATTTCCATATGAGGCATTTGCCACTTTCCAAATGCAGACAAAATGTCATAATCAATATTTTAAAATATCATATCATATCATAATCATTATATGTATGTCATTGCAAGAATACTAAAATACATTTTCTTAATAATTTAGGGTTCACGCAGATGAGCGCAGTATGTCAATAAATATCACTGTGGCCGACGCCATAATAAGTTGAGTTGAAGAAATTTTAAAATTAAAGTAAAGACATGGACAATGGCTATTTCTGTACTCTCATCCCTTTTGTGACGAAAAGACAAAAAAAAAGCTGCCCATGTCCCTTTTCTTTGTTATTGCTAAGCATTGTAGTTTCAAACCCAACCCCATTTTTTGCTGCTACATAATTATGGCTGTAAAAATGGGTGTTGGCATTGAGACTCATTTTGGAGATGAGCATTGCTTGTGCACTCCATCTTATTTAAAGACACTTGACAAAATGGCGGACACGACGCCTTCAGTTGTACTGCCGTCAACTTAAAGTAGCTTGTCTGTATGAACCCATATTAGATCTATTCAAACAATAAATCTGCTGACATAATCTATGGTGAATTGACGACCTTCAACCTTTAAGCAAAGGAAGTCACACATTCAGCCATACAAAAAACTATTAGTCATTGTTCCTCTTTTATGTAAAAACTAACCAAGGTTGATTAAAAGTTTGTGGGTAAATTGTTTACTGTGAAGTGCCTAAGCAGGCTAGGTAGCTAAAGTAACTATACATACATAAATGTGTGCAAACCTTGTGCAATACTTTAGTAACCTTTAATGTATCCTTTTTAATTTGTATAATAAGATTATAGACCATTATACCACACATGTTATGCATACATGTATGTTATCTATTGTTGCAATGAAACATATTGCATAATATTTTTCCCCAGCATTTTCCTTATAATCTAATCACAGATATCAACTTTCTTTATGATAATCTTGGAAATTATTTTTTTTTTAGGTCATGAGATAAAATGGAGACATCTGTTCTATTCATTAGTTGTAGGTCAGGGATAACAAAAGACATCTGTTCTATTAATTTGTTGTAGGTCAGGTATATGGCTACACATATTGTTTACATAAGGAATGTCATTAATATTGCGCCATGAATAAAACCAGCTGAGAATATCTGTATTTTCACAATGTGATTAGAATATTAAAAATTCTATCATCACATATGAAATTTAGAATTCCCAGTAGATATTGCTAGAGTGATTTATTTTTTTATTCTAAACTCCTTAGATGTTTCTCAGACTCAAGGGGAACTTTCCTCATGTTGAATGCTATTGCGCAATATAAAAACGAATATTACAAAACTATACTTACATAGGCATTATGGCGACTATCCGTCCTATAATATCGTGTACATGAGACCATTTGATAAGAAGTTCAGAAGGTGGATTATCTTCCCAGTTTTCTCCATCTCCTAAAATCGAAAAAAAAAATTGCATCAAATAAAATTAACACACAAACATACTAAGTATATTTAAAGTTATATTAATTTAAAGAATCTTATTAAAGCTTGAAATTAAATGAAAGTCGGGTTGCAAAGTTGTTGAAAAACATTGTGAAATAATGTTCAAGCAATGTTTTGACAGCAAAGTTTCAGTTTCAGCAACATTGCACAATATTTATTTTGGACATAAACAAAGCTGAAGATGCTCTTGTATTAATATTAATACTACATAAGATTTGTTTATTTAATATTGTTATAGGTCTACTAATGGCTTTGAGGGTGTGTGTATATCTATATTGCACAATAAAAGTAATAGCTCACCTTTGAATAGTGTGACTAGCCGCATCATGACTATGGGGCAGTGGTAGGTGTGAGCCGTGACCAGGTTCAGCACAAATGTCCTGTACAGGTCCACCAACTCCTCACTCCTGTCCAACCACTCAATACTACACACTATGTCCACATATTTTGTAAGCTCCCGCCCCAACAGCACAACACAAGACAGGCTATCATCAAACACTATCCTAAAGTTTTCCTCATTCAAAGGATAATCTCTTAAAACTTTTACCAATTCCAGGTAAGGCCCAGTGTTTTTATTTCTAATGCATTTCACCAGAATTTGCTCAACTTGTTTCTTTGTAAAGTGCAGTCTCATCCGCGCTAAAGACGCCTGCCGATCAAGAGTTTTTTGCATCAAAGATGCAGCGACGCTCTTCGGAGTTCCCGACATCTTTACTTCTTGAGATCCGACGATATTGACTTTAAATACTCTACTATCTCCGGCTGACGCAGCAATTCTGCCTTCTTGTGATTCAAAACTTCACGCAATATGTTGCTGCTGTCTTCAAGTGTTGGCAGACTTTGTGGCGACTGATCGTAGCTGGTACTCGGCTTGTTGAACCCGAGACTCGGGTCTGACGCCTCGGAAGTCCTTTTGTCTTTCAAGTAGTTTTGCAATCTCTCTAAAACTACTTTGTTATCACCTTCTTTTTTTTCTGGGCTATAACCTTCTTTGGACATCGCTTTGTATTAACTTTACATTGTTATATATACACTCTACGAACGTGAACTAAAGTGTATTGAATTAGTATTTAAGTATATTCAATCACTACACTATATTTAACAGTATAGTACTTAAATAGTTAAAATTAGCCGAGGAGAAACACGTGCACGACTACGCGGAATAAAAACTTGACAGCATTGTAATGTTGACGTTTGAAACATTTTATTTGCCGCGGAGAAGAACGAATGATTACGAATGATTTTTTTCTATTTTCCGGTGTTGGACTCTTTAGTAACTTTCATAGATTTTAGTCGATCTCAGTGTTGCCATACTAAAATATTGCCGTGGTAAATATTTAACAAACTGGCAGATTTAATTTCGTGGAACACAGGCACAGTCGCAGCTTTAATGACAGCCAGTTTATGTTTTGCTATCTGTGGTTTTTCATTTCTCAATGAGTTTGGGAGGGGTAGAATGCGTGTGTATTTCTGATTCCGGATTTATGCTTTAATTTATTATGTATTGTCGTTAAATAGTGTGTACGTTGTGTTATTGCGAAAATGTGTGTTGAATGAACTGATATATGTAGTGTAATAAACTTTGCTCAGTTTCTTTCTATTATATGGGCGTTGATAATCATGCAAAATGGCCAACGATTTGTGGTCATGTACCTGTTGTACGGAGGCTCTTACGTGTTGGTTGCGCCTAAAACTGTCGCCGGAGGAAATAGAGCAGCGATACAGAAGCAAAGAAATAGATAAAATATTAGAGAAGGAGAAACAGACACTACGACGACAGGTAAAACTATTATTGCTCGGTGCGGGTGAAAGCGGAAAGTCAACATTCCTGAAACAGATGAGGATAATACACAAAGTGAAGTTTGAGCCGGAACTGGTGCGAGAGTACCAGCATGTGATATACCAGAACATAGTTAAAGGTATTCAGGTGTTGGTGGACGCGAGGGATAAGCTCGCCATACCGTGGGAGAACCCGAGAAACTTGGACATCGGTCAGCAGGCGCTGCACTTCAACAGTACGTCATCACTGGACAGTCGGCTGTTCGTGCATTACGCGCCGCACATACACTCGCTGTGGTTAGACAGAGCCATAAAGAGGGCCTATGACAGGCGGAGAGAATTTCAATTGGTGAGTTACAATGTTCAATGTTTGCCAAGTAAACAATGGTACTACTATTCCCTTTGTGTTACCAATGGGAATCCCTTATGTCTTACCTCAATGTTTGATTATCCCTAATGTTTAATTCACAGGGCTGCATTATGTGGTAAACTTAATCACAATGATGTGTTCAAATATATTATAGAAATAATTAATTAATTGTGCCACAATGCTGTTGTTGATAAAACAAACAAGTTATTGTTTGTTTTTATTGATAGTCAATTGTTTTTCTCTGATATTGAGCTGTATAAAATGAATGTTGATAATGTATAAGGTAGGGTGAGGTCCCAATTAATAAGGAATTCTTTGTTATTTTGTGCCAAATTCAATTTGGTTTTGTTGAATGATTCATTTTTTTAAGTGGAACTTTGTTATTTATTTCCAAGCACCTTTGGAATTTTAAAACATATTATTTTATTTCTAAATAGATCTTATTAGAGATAATTTTGACACAAGTTCTTACAAGAAATAAGTCAGTGTTTTCCTTGTTTTTCTCACAGATAAATCTTGTTGTGATTCAAAGCTTAACATTTTGTGCTTGATACTGCCAATTTTGTTTTTTTATCCAATTTCATAGTATTCCTTACTTGTTATAGAAGTAGGTAGGTAAAACTGAGAAACAAACTTTTTTTTTTCTTCTTTCTTCTTTTAATAAAACGTTGCCCCACACTAGGATTTTCTCCTGTGTCGTGGGTGCGTTTACAAACATACAAATTCACATACACAATGACACCCAGACCCGAAACAACAAAAAACTAAACATATATTATAATTAATTAGATTCAATTTCCTAGTAGCATATGTAATAATTGGTATTTTAAACATTTTAACAGGCAACGTCAATTTTCCAATTATTTATTTTAAAAAGTATAACACCTAAATTTATATAAATAGTCAGTGCTTAAGATTAAAAAAAAACAAGTTTCCTCACGTTACAATGTGCCTACATAATCCTAAAAGTGAAATGTTGCATTGAATAAAGTTTGGCACCGATAAAACAACATGTGAAGAATATAAATGACTTCACTATCATAATGTATGCAATTTGTATGATGTTTATGCATGGGTTTTACACTTGCATATGTTACATACAAGAAAATACATAATATGATAATGTCCTAGTACCTTTTTTAATCAAAAACATGCTTTATTCTATTTCAATTAAGGTTGAGTTCGATAGATAAGCATGCATATTATGTTACTGAACTATATTAGACTAAAACATGCTTTATTTTGACAAATAGAGTCATAGAGAAAATGTAATTATTTTTTATTCGATTTTCGTTTTATAAGTAAAGTTTGCGATAGAAGACATTAAAGGCTTATGATGAAAATAAAGAGGTTTTGATGATGTAATGTATGTTACAAGAATTGCAGTAATGGCCACTTATCTGATAAGTGTTTCATTTATGATATTTATTGAATAGACACATTTAACATTATTTAATACTTGTATTATTATGTATCAAATATTATGTCTCTATGCCCATTATCTTAGGCTCATCGCTTATCCTATTATTGGAGACTCAATGTTTTATAACTCTTAATGCACCTTTTTAAAATCATAATTAATATTGTTGTCTATATTTATTATAAGGACATTACAAATCTATTGCTACACACTAGGATTTTCTCCTGTGTCGTGGGTGCGTTTACAAACATACAAGTTCACATACACATGACATCCAGACCCGGAACAACAATATGTGGATGTCACAAAAAGTTGTTCTGTGCGGTCATCAAATCCCGCGCCAATTGTGGAGTACAGTCAGTCAGGATTGTATTCACATTTCAATTAAAAAACATGAATTAAGTATAAAAACTTCTCTGTTTAAATTTAATATAGTTCTGAGGTCAGCAGGCACCATCTGGCAGAATGTCAGTATAGTTCATAACTTCATAGTGTAAAAACTATAAACAAACATCTTTCTTAATACTAACAATAAGCATCATAGCTACAAGTTCTTTGTTTTCCCATAAACATTATACATTGCATCATTGTACACTTTCATCTATACAATGATTCACCGACACCACATTAAAATGTTTTGTTTACTTTGCATAATAATAGTGTGGCTACAAGCTAATCATAGTCACATTATTTATTCTTTGTTTCTTCTAACACAACTGGACTACATCTCAATAGTAATTAAAATAAGACCGTGCATTATATATAGTGTTAAAAGTCACTTAAATATGAATGCCTTTTATAAACTCAAAAACATTTATTGCAATGGAACCATAAGTTGGTATGTTTGAAACGTCAACAAATATAAAATAAATAATAGTCTGTCAGTCTGTCCGCCATTGAAGCTAGGTACTCATTCCAAAAAGTAAATAGTGCGTATAAGTTGAATATATTTGAATGAGACCTGGATTTGTCCTAAACCTACGATTTCTTGACTTTGATTACCTTATTACTAAATGCAATCCTGAAGCCTATATGGGTATTATTAACTCCTTCTAAGAGGGCGGGGGATGGCCTTTGTTCCACATTTCAGCTGATATTTCAATGGAATTTAAAGAATATAATTACGTATCTATCTACTTTATGTTAAGCAATATAGCTATTTAGTTAACAAGTTGATAGATAGAAGTTTTACTTCAAATTTCAAAATACAATAAGATAATAAGTAAAATAAATTTTATTGTTCTAAAACCTGTTTGTACTGACACATTTACATTGACTGTAGGTAAATTCTTGTTCGAGCAAACACTTTGTTCAACACCTTTATGTTGTATCCTCATTTGAATCATTTATTGTTATTTTTATTTGCCACCGTGACTAAATAATTTCGTTTAAAAAAACGTCGGGGTCGACTGTTATAAAGTTTTATGATGGTTGGAGATGAGATACTCAAACATACATCACTGCCTGTCTCCCATGGGTGTAGGCAGAGACTAGGGAACGCCAATTACTACGATTCCTACATACCTCTTTCGCTTCATCAACAGTCATCAATCTTTTCATGTATACTAGTCGGTTAAGGGTACTTTTAATTTGGCCCTTCTTTAACTCGTCGAGTACCGGTTTTATAGACACAATTAAAGAACAATAGGTCGCGGTCACCGGTGACCGCTTGGTGTTTGACAGTTTAATATATCGTCAATCTGGTCACCATGTTCGTCTAGGGCGCACTCTACCGACGGCCCCATTAAAATCCGCTTTGTATACTTATTTCGTTTCTCTACTTTCATCCATCCTTTCTACATGTCCAAACCAGCGTAACATTCCCTTTTCAATCCTTGTCACTACATCATCGTTCAATCTACACTTTTCTCAAATAACACTATTTTTCATTTGGTCACTCAATTTTAGTCCACACATACTTCTCAGGGCTCTCATTTCCACCACATTAATCCTGCTTTCATGCTTCTTCTGCCACACCCATGATTCACTACCATACATAAGCGTTGGTACAGCAAGTCGAGCTTTGCTGGATACTCAAACAGTACATAATAAATACTAGGTCTATCTGAAAAGCTAGATTTTTACCTATACTACACAATTTAGACAAGAGCTAGGAATGTATATTTCTTATTCACAAAAAATATACAAATTCCTATAAAGTTCTAGACCTGTTGATTTGCGTGTTAAAATTTCATTTCGTTGGTCGCCCGTCGCCATAGTCCACAAGGGTCTGTTCTCGTGAATTATGGAGTTAATCTGTCACTCAATTAATGTAATTTAGCTGCGAAACCAGTTTGAACAGTTTTTTGCCTTTCGGCAAAGCTCTAGAATCGATTTTTGCCCTTAGGTATGTTTAAATCAGGTTTTGGTCTGATAACATGAAAGTTGTGCGTGCTTAGAGGGTCATATAAGATCTCGGTTAATTAGGGTGCAGGTGCCCGCTTGGCAGGTTTATTTTTAAAGCTGTTAAACCCATGTATAAGGCATTTTGTCCGTGAATTACGGCTTGTTTAAGGACGTGTGTCCATCGAAACAACTAAGCAATAAGAGAGGAAAGACTAATTCTCAGTTGACTACTTATTAAACTAGATTTGAAAGGAAATACCCTTAAAAAGTCTTACAAGGAAGTCAAAGTCAGGCATTGTTGCCAACAAATAAAATTACAGGCAATACGAAGCCTTAAAATGTATAAAAGATGTCATCGGAGAATAAGCGACCCTTTGTCCGGAAGTATGTAATATCGGTGAACATGTTCGCCGCGTTTCCGACCCTCAAAGTCGAGGATATACGACGGCTTATTGAAAGACTTATAACTTCAAGAAATGGGGACGGCTCTTTCTAAAACTTCTCGGTTCCCTTCCTTTAAAACTTTAATATCGAGTCTTACATTATTTGTCTACGTTCTTTGAGCTACTTAGCGATACGAAACTTCTTTTATTACCTATGTATGTATTTTTTAATAATAACGATTTATCACTATGCCGTGGTGCCTATATGAAGGGTGTATTTGTAGAGAAAAATCTTCATTGGCTGCAATGACCTCTTAATTGACCCTATTGGGTCTCTAAACAGAATAATGTAACAGCTATACGAAGTCTTTCAAGTAAATATCTCAAGTTATAGTTCATATTGTCCCTAGTTCGCGGGTTATTGAACTCAAAGACAGCACTTTCGCACCTGCCTTGCTCACTCGCGTACCTATTTAGATTGGTAATCTAACTTATAATTTTACATTTCCTATATCCGGGACGGATAATCTAGCGTGAGCAGTAGTTTGTGATTAGATGATGTAACTGATTTATTAGTTTATAATGTTTAATTACGCTTATAATTACCAGGTAACATTGGCTACCAAATGTTGCCTAAGTTTTAGTTTTGTAGTATACTGAATAATATCAACTTTGTGCGACTAGGGTGTTTAAAATCACACAATTAACTGTCATTATCGTCGCTCCTAAGGTCTTGCTTATATAGGGTCAGAAGATCAAATCATAAAACATATAACATAACAATTAAATGTAGTTATATATCTACGAACAAGTAAAATATCGACTATGCC